CAAAGAGGTTAACCACCATTGCTCGTTTTGTCTCAAAGCACTAGACCGAATCTACCAACCAGCAAAACGTATTCTAGGCAAGTTATCTATACAAAAAAAGTATACCATAGTTTATCTTTACCGCTCTGGAGAGAAACGTTAGCTTGTTCGTTATCATTATTTCTTTGCGTCTTTTCATGCACTGGGTGATGGCTTTTTTTGTCAAAATTGTACAATTTGTACTTGTTGCTTTAGAAGAACAACTTATAAATCTATGGATAATTACAGCTTGACTTATTGTATAAGATTTTCTGTAATTAAATTTCATTATTGCATGTCCCTATTTCATTTTCAAGATACCTAGCTTTTTGTTTATATTCATCAGCCGGGCATGCAGTGTTCCCGTTGTGAACTGTTAATGATGTAAAATTCTGCTTCTGCATTTCATGAAAGGGTTGCAATAAAACAATAAAAATTTTCAGTCACGATATAGTGCTGCAAGTATAAGAACATTACTACTTTTACTTGCTTTCACACTAGTTGTAAAACTAAACGTCTAGTAGCTGGTGAAAATTGAGTTTCGAACGAACACAAAGAAATGAAGCAAATGTACGAAAAATTTCCATAGGAGATATCACCGATGACGAGGAATAGTTTTATATTCCTCATAAGAATAAGCTGAACAAATAAAACTTGGTACTTCATAAACATTAAAAGGAAAACTGATATTATAGGATTTATAGCCATCAAACGTAATGATTGTAGAACGATTTCTTGCATGTCTAGTGTGATTGAGGAGCCTGATTGGAAAAGAGTGGCAGAAAAATTAAAGAAAGGAAGTGCTCTAGTTGAAATACGAAAAATTGCAAATACCTCACGTGTTTTCTTTAAGAGCCTTATCAACATTGAACGTAAGCTTCCTTTCTGAAAGAGAGATTCAGAGTGCTAATATATTTCTACAATGAGGACACGAAAGAGCACATAGATCTTGGTATGAGTTTGTGCACGCAAAAAGCTGTTGAGACTTTTTATTCAGCCTTAGAATAAACGATGAATTGAAGCAATGTATGGGGAATATCCACTTCCCACTCATGAGCTCATAGCAGTTATGCAAATGTAATAGGTCGCACAGAGAGGCTCACTTCTCTTATTACGTAAATCATGTTATCCGAAAAGCATGTAATTTCTTTGAAAATTTGAATGAGCTTCGAGTAATTTTAAGCAAGTATAGCAAAAATACAATCAAATGTCGGGGCTTCAGTTTTAAATTTTGTTTTGCTATCCCTCGTGATGAATAAATTTCGGTTTCACCTTTATTTTTGATCAGTTGTTTTGCCAATGTCCAACACGTCACCACTTCCTTTTCGCCCTTTTTTCATGGGAGTGGATATTAGGCGGAGAAATGAATTTGCCATTCTTTGGTGTCATTGATCCAGTTATACGAAACCATTGAGCTGTAAAATCAACTGAATGGCTACTCTATACAGAGAGATTTATGATTTCATAATTCAAATGAAGGCCTCGGGAGCATGCATAAAACTATGATTCCAAACACAAAATCTTTGAACATAGTTTTGTAAGAAAAACATGCTTCAAATTTCAGTAGTATAAAGATGTGAAAGTTTAGACAGAAAAAGAAAAAAGTCTTAACCACAATCTTTGCATCAGCAAAAGTTTTATTTATAGGCAAAAGTTTAATTTTTTACGGGTTTTACTGTGTTGTCAATTATTACATGTAATGCATGTAAGAAGTGTTTCAAGTGTTTTATTACTTACTCTTTATTCTGTAATAGTGGTAATGATTGCATAATAAGTTTTTTCTCTGCTCTGCTACAATTTAAAATGAATTGCATGATCGTGATTTATGACAGTCTTTTTGTCAAAATTTTGAGTTGATTAAAAGCATTTCCAAGACATTATAAATTAAATGTATAGCTATCGACAACCAGCTTACTATGCAAAAGGACATTTGATGTGACTTGTTTTCGAAATTCTTACTTAATTCATCGCGTTTCTCTTCGTTGTCACTTCCCGCTTCCAATTTTCCATTTCTGCCTCCAATTCCGACCCTTCATCACAATTATTCATGGAGAAATAGATAAATTTTGCCATTCTTTTGGTGTCAGCTGATCCAGTTATACAGAACCATTGAGCTGTAAAATCAACTAGAATGATTACTCTATACAGACGCTTTTGATTTGATAAGTCAACTGGAAGGCCCTGGGAGTATGCAAAACTATGATTCCAAACACAAAACCTTTTAAACATAGTTTTGTAAGCAAAACATGCTTCAAATTTGTGTAGTATAAAGATGTGAAAATTCAGACAGATAAGAAAAGGTCTTAACCACAGATCTTTGCATCAGCAAAACGTTTTATTTATAGGCAAGTTTAATTTTTACGTGCTTTACTGTGTTATCAATTATTACATGTAATGCATGTAAGAAGTTTTTTAGCGTATTTATTACTACTCTTTATTCTGTAATAGTGGTAATGATGTTGCATAATGAAGTTTTGTCTCTGCTCTGCTACATTTTTAAGATGAATTGTGCATGATCGTGATTCATGACAGTCTTTTGTCAAAAATTTTGAGTTGATTAAAAGCATTTCCAAGACATTATAAATTAAATGTATAGCTATCGACAACCAGCTTACTAAGTGCAAAAGGACATTTGATGTGACTTGTATTTCGAAACTATTACTTAATTCTTCGCGTTTCTCTCGTTGTCCACTTCCTGCTTCCAATTTTCCATTTCCTGCCTCCAATTTTCCCCTTTCTTTCTCCTTTCTTTCAGCATTTTCCTTCGTTTTTTCATTTTCCAACGAATTTACTTTTTCTTCCAATAATTCCTTTGATGATTTAAGCTCAGTAATCTCAGCTTCTAATGACGAAATGTGATCGTGCAGCTCAGTAATCTTAGCTTGTAATGACGAAATGTGATCTTGCATAGACTTAAATTCAGAGAAACCAATTGCTTCTACCCCATCAATTTTACTCCGTAAGTCTATTGCCATTTCAATTTGTATTGCTACACTCGATTTAATTTCCGTCATTTCCGGTGGCAATTCGCTGCAACGCCCCTCGATTTTGGCGACTTGTACTCCAAGATTGGTACATTGTTGAATGATGTCTTGTGCTTTTTGCTTAAGAACTTCCATTGACTCTGCTCTCTCAACTTCCTCTGAATATTGAGTAAATAGAATTATAGCACTTCTCCCTTTATGTTATCCATTTTTATAATTTTCTATATTGTACAATTGAATTTTAGCTAGTTCCAAATTCATCAATTTCTAAAAGTTCCCTATTTGTTTGAATTTGTTATTATGTTCAAAGATCATGAAACATGCATTAATGCAGACTTTCTAGTTAACGAATATCATTTGCAAAGACGTGTTCAAAATGGATTTGAAATACTTGGAGAAATTTTAACGGAAGTTAAATTGAGCACATTATTCCAACAAAGAACTTCTTATCAAGAATGTCATACCGTAAATTGTCTATTGTCAAAAAGGTCAACATTTCATTTCCTATGTTATTGAATTTTCACGATATATTTAAACGCCACCGAAATTCTTTTTCGTTACTTTCCATGTAAGAAAAGTTGAATATGTATCAACTATCAGTCATCTTGAAAATATCACGAAGTAAATTTGAAGTAATACAAAATGCGTTTAAAACGTCGGAATTAATTCAGATATGGTAGTTCAAATCAAAAACGTCATAATTTCTGTAAACAATTTAATGCAAATTGCGTAGCATTGACATAAGCGGCATTTTGTTATGGTGTTATCATCACACATGCCCATTTTAAATATCATGTGAAAATAGTCGACAATTGCCAATGAGGTTGAGAACGATATCAATAACTATTCAGACTGAAGTCAAATTGTTTTATTGTACATTATAAATGCAGAAGCTTTCGATATTTTGTATGGAAGTCATAAAGTCTTCCATACTTTGACATGAGCCGGCTTTTGTGTCTTTTGCGTCTTATTTTCAATAATTCGTATAAAGAGAGTTTGTAAAACACTTGAAAATGTCAAACAAGATTTCCACCGAATACTTCTTACGATGTCAGTAGCCACATTGAAAATTGCGTCACCTACAATAATTGTACAGAAGCCTGCCAGCTTCTGAGCTTCAGAAGTACGACTAAACTTCACAATAGTTCTCATTTTCGACATTTTTTAACAAAGTAACTATATTTACGGCTTCGTAAACAAACTTTGCTACCCTGTATAATTTACAGTAGTGTTGTGAAAAACTTATATAATGAAAAAATTTCGATATTACTACTACTTTAGAAGGCTTGTGTAGTTTAATGTAAGTTTTAAGGATTTGGCGGGATGCGACATCGGGTTTGAAACTAGCTTCAGCTATCACATATTTTTTAAATATGATAAATATTTATTTCTTCATAAAATGAATTTTATCTTTAATTTTTTTTTCAATGAAACAATATAGCTCAGAAAAACCATTTTAGAACAAAATTTTCTATATTTCCTATATTATTTGTGTATTTCTGTACATACTATCTTTGTATACATTATTTGTGTATTATACGTTTGTGAATATCATAAATTATTTGAAACTGGCGTTATACATATTATGAAATAAAGTAATAAACGCAAGCACGACAGTACATATTAACCAACCTTAACATTCTTAGCAATTTGACTTTCTTCTTTTATATATTTTCTTATAGGCCGCAGAACATGAGGACTCCAGTTTAGTACTTTCTTTTGACAAACCTCTTTTGGAAAATGAAACTGCGCAATATTGTTATTCCAATCTCCCACAACGTTACAGGTGGCTTATTCAACGTATACGTAATTGTACGCAAATTAATAATGATTTAAAAGTGATGAGTTTAAATTAGAAATTGGTTCATAAACAACTTGAAGTCAATGTTAATGCAAAGTCCTCTACAGAGTTTATTACTGATAGTAAAGACCATGTCTCCCATATTTTTGAGCTGTCATATTTGAACAGATTTTTAAGACTTCCCTCAGTCATATTCAAAAATAAATGCAAACAGTATAAATCATGTTGCAAATATTCAATATGTTGGTATAGCCATAGCCATGTAAATTTTGTGTACTATATAATATAGTTAACTATACTATGTGGTGTAACTATACTATGTAATTAGTAACAGTTTTTGTGTTTAGAAACTACTTTTGTTCAATAAATTTATATAAAATGAGAATAAACACCATTTAACTCAAGTTCATTTTATATTTGTCTTGTCGATGGGACCTTGCACTCACTTAAACAAAACTGAGCTCTTTGGAATCTTTTCTGATGATTCGAAACAGTTAATCTCCTTATTTTTCAAAGGAATAGAAAATGGACGCCGTATAAACATCTCAAAACTAAAAAAAGTGATTCATTAGATATGCATCCTTTGTTGTCGACCACTTTACCCAATAATTTTCTCATCTTCTATAACTTGGTATAAAAGTCAATACCATTCCATCAGTTAAAGATATTGGTATTATTATAGACAGCTCCTGTATTGCCAGACTTAATGGTGACCATTGAGTTCTATGATAACTAGAGCAACTATCTCAAGCGCGGCTTTAGATATCGGATGTTGTAAAAAACTTGGCGGATTTCGTCCTCTTCCGCTGAGAATTATCGAAAATGACTGCTTTTCCAAAATTTCGCATTTTCCACTTCCCCCTTTGGGATTTGGCAAGCAATCTTTTGATGAAAATCAAGGTAAAAACCTAAAATTCATAACAGCGAGTTAACTGTGGTTGCCTGTTTTCGGCTCGTACAAGGGATGCCTTCTATAACTATTGATGAAGGAGCTATTCGTCAGTCACATAAGAATGAAGATGTGCGTTGTTTATTACCAACTTAGTCAAGTGAGAAACTTGTTCGCTCACTGAGACTTTTTAGTCTATCGACGTTTTGCCTTGTTTACATTTTGCTAGCAGGTTTGTTGATCACAAAAGTGGTTAACAACCATTGCTCGTTTTGTCTCAAGGCACTCGACCAAATCTACCAACCAGCAAAACGTACTCTAGGCAAGTCATCTTTATAAAAAATTTATACCATAGCTTATCTTTACCGTTATAGAGAGAAACGCTAGCTTGTTCGTTATCATTATTTTTTTGCCTGTTTTCATGCACCGGGTGATGGCTTTTTTTGTCAAAATTGTACAATTTGTACTTGTTGCTTTAGAAGAACATTTTATAAATCTTTGGATAAGTACAGCATGACTTATTGTATACGATTTTTGGTAATTAAATTTCATAATAAATTTCAAGAACACTTGAATTTGCATAAGTTTGATGAATAAAAACAATCAATACTGTATATAAACCACTAAGTAACATTTTTTTTTGTGTTCTGAACTGCAACTGCACCAAATATCATTACATGTAAAGTTCTTACACATTTTGGTTTCTTTGTATTGAAATATTATATATGCAAAATGTAAATAATCATGAAAACACTTGTGCTTGCAATGGGATATATAATTGAAGTTTGTGAATTAATTGCAGAAAGTAAAAAAACACGGGTAAAGAATAAATAAAACAAAAATATTATGCCAACGATCGTCAAATAACACATTAAAAAAGCAATTGCAAACAAAATAAATATCAACAAACATTAAGAATAATAATGAAGCTATGCATGCGCCTGCAAAGGACACGACAGCTAGATATTTTTCAACAAGCTTCGCTAGTTATCCATTACATTTACTTCTAAACATTTGAGCAATCTCATTGTCATTTGATGACTTTCATTTTTTCAAGTCACTTAAATTTGCTAATCAGTTTAACATTATAGGTGAAGTCATGGATGAATTTTGAATCAAATTAATTATTTTGTTTGAAAGATATTTTTAAATAGGCTCATTTTTTTCTTTGGGCTCATTGTCATATTAAACACACTCAATAAAACATCTTCTATATGATCTAAAATAAAAAAATTATGCGTAGACAAATCTATAATAAAGCACCCCTTTGTTCACCATCAAGTCATCTTAATCAAATATTTTTTATTGGGGGGAGTAGGGTACGTTTTTATCGATTATTAAGCTGTTTTATTTTGAGCAAAAAAGAAAAATATTTGTCTTGAAAGATGAGTTTGTCAAGAATGTAGTAGATATGAGAATTTCAGTAATGTGCGTAAAAGGTTTTGATGCTTAGTGCAACAGGTGGTTCACAGTAATCTCCACTGGTAGAATGTAAAATAGTGGAAGAAATTTTAGTGCAAAAGATGAAGTGGTACGGAGTATTTCATGATATGTGAAGATAGTGATCTTTTTACTTTAAAGGACATGTTAGTGCAGGCAACTGACGTTACGAGAAAATAATGACCAGGTTTAGCGTTCACAGTAGGAACATAGAAGGACAGCCGGTGGTGGAATTTGCAAAAAGTATAGAAATGGCTAAATTAAACAGATTTCACCATAAAGGATAAGAACGTCAGGTGAATGTTGTGGCAGAAGAACGTGTAGCCAGACAGCACAAAATGGTAGTGTGAATGATAGCTAAAGCGTAGAGGATGATAAATTAGACAAAGACATTAAAAAGAGCAAAGTATTAGAAACTGAAAAAGGAAGAATGCTGTGTAGTTTATGTGGAGAAGTTGAAACTGGCTCTAAGTGATCAGGATGTGCTTCCGGAGGACTGGCTATTCAAGCAAATGTGATCTGGAGTACGGGTTGAAAAATGTTTGCATGTTGTGAGGAAGTAAAGTACAACAGGACATTCGGTGGAGGAATGAAGAAGTGCAGGAGTGTGTTATAAGAAAAATAATGGAAAGAAGATATAGAATATAACGACGTAGCTAAAGATAGTAAAATGAAGCATAAGTGCAATATCATAATGTTAAATTCGTAGTGGCAAAAGCAAAACAAACGGTATATGAAGACTTGTATTATTAATAAGATTGTAGAGAAGGAAAAAAATGATTCTTATAGATTGGCAACTCGCCAGGTAAAAGAAAAAGATGCAAAAGACATGCAGTAGATTAGAGTTATTAAGTACAAACATGGAAATCTAATAAGAGATAACAAAAGTGTAATGTGAATATTGCAAAAAATTGCGAAGAATTAATCAATAAGAAACATAAGAGCTATAAGTGTAAGATAGGTGACTTCAGTAGATAAAAATTTTGTAATTATTAGTAAAGATGATTTTTTGAGATTAAAGATCTTTCGTCCTTCATGACATACCTTAAAACATGAAAATGTCGAGAAGAGTAAAAGTGTCAGTCTCCAGCATAAAAGAGGAGCGGAGCACTTTTCTTCAGCTATGAGTTTTGACATGCATGTTCTGCAATGTAAAGCACAAGGTAATGCGTTTTGGGCATGACGTAACTAAGACAGCTCAAGACATCAGATCTATAAACGACATCGTTAGTACATAGTTAAAACACATAGTTACACAAAGTTAGAACACACAGAATTTACACTGATAAGACTTATCGCCAAAATGACAGTGGGATACAAGTTTAATGTCAGAACGTGAGTATGCCATATCGCTCCAAGAAAACTACCTCAGTGGAGCCCCAAAAATCTCACCAGGTCAACTCATATTTAATAAATAGGTACGCAATTCGTACATGTGGGTAGCTTTGACCACAGTATAGAAAACAAACAGGAGTCAGTAGTCTCGCTTTACTGTGCTATTGTGTATTTTTCATTAAATTCAATACTGGGTGTGGTTAGCCATTTCACTGTTTCTACTGGTCATGAAATAAAATTTACTTTCTTTATAACGTTAATTACATGAGCAATCGAGTTTTACTACACAAAAATATTCAGTAGATTGTTAGGACTATTTTATTCTACACTGTAGCCTTATGATGAATTGCGTTTAAATGTAACGTTGATAAAATTGAAAATGAAAACATTTTTAGATAATTCACAAAGTCGTCAGAGACTACCAGCAAAAACTACTTTGACAGATTAAGTCTCAGGTAAAAAATTCTGAAATCAGTTGTAGAATACATACCATTCACACACATCTTTTATTGTAATGCTAGAGTAGAGTTATTTCAAAGGGGCTTCTTCCTGTTAAAATGTTACGAACGACGTATGCAGGTATGCACACAGTCGTTTGTGCATTACTTAAAGTTGTTGCGAAACAAAAATTTTGTTATTTCAATTAAATTTTCATCATATAAATTTTTTAAAATGATACTAGACTTTAAAAAATAGTCTATGCAAATCTCTTTTCATTTTCAAGATACCTAGCTTTTTGTTTACTATAAAACCCAATTTACAAAACCAGTGACATCACAATGCATATTTACAACTTGAATTAGCAGGTATAATTGGCAATGTATTCATCAGCCGGGCATGCAGAGTTCCCGTTGTGAACTGTTAATGATGTAAAATTCTGCTTCTGCAATTCATGAAAGGGTTGCAATAAAACAATAGCAAAATTTTCAGTCACGATATAGTGCTGCAAGTATAAGAACATTACTACTTTCACTTGCTTTCACACCAGTTGTAAAACTAAACGTCGAGTAGCTGGTGAAAAATTGAGTTTCTCGAACGAACACGAAGAAATAAAGCAAATGTACGAAAAAATTTCCATAGGAGATATCACCGATGACGAGGAATAGTTTTATATTCCTCATAAGAATGAAGCTGAACAAATAAAACTTGGTACTCCATAAACATTAAAAGGAAAACTGATATTATAGGATTTATAGCCATCAAACGTAATGATTGTAGAACGATTTCTTGCATGTCTAGTATGAATGAGGAGCCTGATTGGAAAAGAGTGGCAAAAAATTAAAGAAAGGAAGTGCTCTAGTTGAAATACGAAAAATTGCAAATACCTGACGTGTTTTCTTTAAGAGCCTTATCAACATTGAACGTAAGCTTCCTTTTCTG